CACAGTTCTTAGACTGCACTTAATTAATTAGAGATCATTACAAAAATAATTTAAAAAAAAAAAAAAAAGGAAAGAAAAAAGAGCAGAAACTTGGAGCTTGATCAAGGCCTAAATTATTTCTTTATGAATTTGGATGGTGGACTTACCGTACCATTCAAAATATTGTACTGCCGTGTAGACAATAACTTTTAAAATAAAAAAAAATCAGTTGCTGATTCAAGTGATGCCCGATATAAGTTGAATTCTGTATATCTTTTAAATTCCTTGAAGGTTATATTTAATTGAAGGAAAAGATGTTTCTTTGCGTTTGTTTTATTTAATATTCATTGCATTTTATTAGCTACCAAATATTTGTATGTGTCAATAAATAACATACCTAACCACCAAAGTATGAAAAATTAAGTGTTGCTGAATAGGGTGCTATAAATCAGGCCTCCTAGAACTTTTGCAGAAAAGGAAAAATAGCTGGTTTAAGCTTGCTGTGTAAATGCAGATCATTTCCGTCGTCGTAATAGATTATTTCATTTATGACTTACTGCTTTGTCCTAAAGGTGCTCCTTGTGAAGGATGTCCTCAGCCTAACCTCACCATGCACAACCGCTTGCTACAACTTTTGGGGAAGGGTTGGAATTCTAAAGAGGCTGCTGGCTGAGAGCAAAGTGGTGCTTTACATATAATATTAGCCCAGACTTTCCTAACGCATTACGGATTTCTTTCTGAGACAAGTCTCCTTAATGCCATCTTTATCTGCTACACGATGCATGAAATCTACTTTCTGTTTTAGAACTGCGGCTGACCCCCGACCCCGCAAGTGGAGCCACAATGTGACCTTTCTATTGTCATCGGCTTTCATTCTCCTGAAAATTCTATGAATTTTTATTACAAGTTTTTTTAAACCAAGCTGAGGCTTCAACAAATTACTTGACACAGATGAGATGAAGTTGTTGAAGTAGTGTTAGATAAGTTTTACAGCCAGCATGTGTGCTGCTGAACAGTACAAAGCCAGTGTCCTACAATGTCATACACCAGTAACTGCTGAGCCTACTATTGGATAAATACATCATTTTATGGAACATTGATTGTTCTATAAACCCAATGGAGTATTATGCTCTATGATCAAACCATTTAGATTGTGTGTAGAGCACAGAAAATGCCATATTCAGGATGGTACTAAAAGTGCCATTTGTGTATTTTATGGATGTCATTACGGGGGAAACTTCTCTCTGTAGGCCCTGTTTACTGCAAAATTTTTTAGTCTGTAATGACATTTTTCATTCACAACGTATGCCTTCAAGAGAGGGGGCCCTTGTTTTATTTGTTTCATTCGAGTTTACTGCACAAATCCTGTACATTTTAATTAAATGTAAGCTTAACAAAAGAATAAGGTATTTATTCTGTGGGGAACAAATGATGACAGTAACAAAAGAATAAAACAGACACACAAAAGAAAGTCAGGTATTGAGTAAAAGAGAGGGGAAAAAGGTACTAAGCCCTATTTGTAGTTTCCCAGAAGCACATTAAACATCAAAGCATTTCTTTTAGCCCTATTTCGGGAGTTTGTGGTCTCTGAGAATTAAAATAACCTGCGAATATGGATTTAATGTCTAAGAAATCCTGACGTTTTCAAATAAAAAACTAACAGTCGCTCAGGACTCCAACTGATAAATAATGGCTCTGCTGAAATGACCGACTTCTTGGAAAGAAACCAATTCTGTGATCATTGCAACCCTAGATATGAAACACCTCTTTACGAATTGTCTGAATATGAGCTCTCGTATCATTATATTTTGTCATTTTAATGCCTATTTGTGTATCTTTTTAATTTGCAATGACGTGCAATCAGCGACAAGTCCACTTTTCCTAATATTAATGTGGGCTTGCATTGCAGCTTATGTTTGCCATGTCAGCCAACACTTACCCCTCCTCTTTACCCGTTTTTAAGAGGGGGCGAGAGGCAGGCTGGATTTAGTAGGACAACATGATTTGTTGCTACATACAGACCAATAATGTGACACGTTCCTTAAATACATAAAAATTCCTACAAATGTTGTGTTGGATAGCAGTGCTCCATTATAGAAATGGACTGTTCCAAAGTCGAAATAGCACCTAAGCCTCAAAATATGTTGTTTTCTACGTGTCTTCCCTACTTGGCTTTTCACTGTTAAGACAAAAGAAAACCAGTAAAATCTGCAATTCGTATTTACCATGAAAAATCACTAAAATTGAAGTTGATGTTCCCAGTAAATTCTTGGTCATAGTCCAGTTAAAATTTAAAGTTACAGTAGATTCACATTAGTTTAAATGACACTTGAACTTCTACACAGCTCAACATTAATTCATTATAGTTGAAATGGAAGAATCTTCAGTGGGTGAATCTTTTACAATCTGATTGAGGCTGTTACATTTTATAGGAGCCATTTTTCAAAGCAGTACTGACAGCACTCGAAGTTATTAAATTGCTGAATCAAAAGATGGACCTGCAATCGCATTTATGAACTGTGATGGAATAGCTGGGGTTGCACTGAGCTGAGGTTAAGATGTTGGTGTAGTTAAGCTTCATCACACCCCTTAGTGACAGCAGTATTTACCCACGTAGTTTACTTTAATGGTCAGGAAGTGGCTTAACTCACCTCTGGATTCAAATAGATTAAGTAAGCAGTCAGAATGGCATAATTATCAGTGCTGCGAGGGATTCACCGGATAGCTCTTCACCCAGGAGACTTCCCATTCAATTGCACAGCAAAGCCTGGAGTTGCATAGATTCACGGGTACAGCATTTATTTGAGGAGATGAAAACAGGATGAATTTCCTTTTTCATTCCCTTCCCCAGACCGGAGCTTCTCCTCAATGCAGTGACGCTGCGTCCCGTACATAAATTATCATGATCTTAGGGGAAAGATGTCATGATTTTGCTGTGCGCCTGTGGAAATTATGATCGTGGAGTTATTTTGATTTTGGAATCCAGTGGAAAACGCATGATTTGTAGGCTTATTTTGATTTTGTGCCACATCACTGCCAGGCTCCTCTTTTATCATGTCAACAAAGCAAGATTCCTGAGAGAATTAATTACTTCTGCTCTATTATAAAATGTGGAGGAGCTAAGATAATTGTCACTTTATGTTGATTTCCCCTTCCTATTTTTCTGCTCTTTGGGGGTCTTGTGAATGTCAGCGCCTTCAGAGAGCACAGGAAAAGTGGGGATGAGAACCAGTCGTGCCACAGTACGCTTCCTTCTCGTTTATGCCTGACAAAAATGTACTTCGATTGCATCTGCCAGATTTATCATGCAGCATCACTTGGAAACACTCTAATGGTTTAAATTGTTAATTTTCTTTTCCAAAGATAACCTGCCCTGCAAACTAAGATGGAGAAAGTTGTATAACGTCAGTTTAGACTTGTGAAGGTGATTTGCAGCCTTTCAGCTTGACAAAATTACTTCTTGTGCTTCACAGTACAGTTCTCTACCAGAAGCTTTGTAATAGAAAAAAAGATAGATAGACAGATAGATAGATAGATGCCAGCAAGAGCTCAGTCTTTTAAGCATTGGTGTTGTCTTGGAGCATTACCTTGATATGCACCTTAGCATATCAAGTTGCTAGAGGCTTACCTTCAAGCAAATGAATCTGGTTTTTAGAGCCCAGTGTAGTTCTCTGTGGGATCAGGGCCTGACATCTCGATGCTTTGGGTGAAAAAGCCCCCTTAGACCAGCTTTAGTATGATTTTCTTGGCCTCTCGAGTTCAACGGAGCATGTTGTACACTAGAAGTGCCTTGGTGGCCTGGAAAGTCCAGCGCTAGCCTGAAATTTGACTGTAAGATTCAATTTTTTTTCTTGCTTGTTTTATCTCAAACAAGCCATGGCATGTCCATGTGTGTCAGTGATAAGATGCTGCACCTGTTACTCCAGAGATGTGATTTCAGTTTGCGTAGCTGAATTTAAACTAGAGCGTGGGTGTGGGTAGTCTTAGCAGCATGGACTTGATCAGCCTTCCCAAGGCCCATCTGGCATTAAACCCTCACCTCGTTCTCAGTGACCAGGACCTTCTCTTCTCTCTGTGTGCCCTGGTTGTGGCCCAAAGCTCGCCTCCCAGGAGCTGCAGGGGTGCTTCAGGACATCACTGCCACGGGGAGACAGCGGGTGCTAGGGCTCTTCTGCCATGGACATCCACAAAGCCGGTCATAGGGTGCTCTCAGTTATCTCTTCCCAAAAATGCCGAAGGCCGGCCTGAGGCCGTGCTTCGAGGACCGTGGGCTTGACTCTGTGCAGCTGTGGGAACCATTTGCTTTGCTGAAGCTTTATTGTTAGGGATGAGAACCGAGAAGGGAAACCTTCAATGATCCAAAACCAGACCGAGTGGCAGAGCAAGCACTTGGAATGTGGTGGTTACAGGTATTTTAATTTCTTAATTGATTTCATGTAGGAATAATTAAGAAGTGTAACCGAGCTTTCTCTGGATGATATTTTGTGGAATATCCTGCTTAGGGTAAGAAAACTACCGAGTGTTTTCTCCAGGTAACTAGGCTAGTGACTGAGTCAGTCAGATGTGCTGGAGAAGACGCTAGGTGGGAAATGAAGGGGAAGACAATGGCATCAAAATGACAGCACGGCAATTACCTCGCCAACAAAAGCTGGGTATTAAGAAGATCAGCCACAGTTTTTCACACCCAGATATGTTTAATGTAATATACGATCCTAAAATTCATTACTGAAGTACTGAAATATCACCGGTAGGATCTTCTGTAAAAGATGTGTTAATGGCTTTTAACTGTATACTGTATTTATCTGGGCTTTTTTATACAGCACATTTTAAAAAACACATTTAAATTGTTAATAGGCTGCAGAATTGTTAAACTCGGCAATTATTTCAACCTGTAAATATGTTATTCGGAAAACATGCAAATTGTTTTCGTTCGCTTGCTCATTTTATCTGTGTTTTCTGCCAGTGAAATCTAAAAATTGTCAAGGAATTTTTTTCCATTTAAGCTACAATTTGTTAAAGTAATGAACTGGTATTTGCCACGATACCATGTTAACAGCATATTTTATCTTGCAGGCATTGTGTCCAAGTCCTACGAGTGCCGACTGAAGGGGCAAGGAGCAACCTTTGTGGAAACGACGAGTCCTTTTACTGCAGCAGCACTGGGAGAGGTTTCTCCAGTTAAAGAGAAGGTCTTTCGGGGCAGCAGAAGACAGCCACAATCACCTGAAGGAGTTCAGCAAGTTATTATTATTCAAGGATACGATGGCGACTTTGCAATCGATGCCTCTGTAGAAGAAACAGCAGCAGCTACCCTTCAGACTCTAGCAATGGCTGGTCAGATGGCCAGGGTGGTCCATATTACAGAAGACGGGCAAGTCATAGCTACAAATCAAAACAGCTCGCACGTGAGTAGTGTGGTTCCAGGGCAGATACTTACGGAGCAGTTAGCAGATGGTGCAACACAGGTGGTAGTGGTTGAAGGAACAGGAGCTGATATGGAGGAGGCCGTTCGAATGGACGCAGTTCCTGACTCCAGTAGCACTGTACTGCAGCAGATAATGCGACAAGAAGTTTTAGATGCTTCTGAAGCTACGGTCCATCCTCCAGACTCCTCCTCGGCACTGGATGCCCTGCTTTGTGCTGTAACAGAGCTGGGTGAAGTGGAAAACAAATCTGGACTCCTTGACAGATGCAGGTCTGGTCACAAAGATTTCTTGCAAATGCCAAACCCAGAGACGCCCAGCGTTCCCAGTGATGCAGAGGGACAAGAAATACAAATGTTCCATGAAGTTCAAGAGACTCAGGAAGATACCGAACCTATGGAAGTAGTGACGCGGGTCATGCACCCATCGGCTATAATTGCATCTCAGGAGAGAGCTCAGGCTGCCTTCAAGAAAATGGTCCAAGGAGTATTACAGTTTGCTGTATGTGATACGGCTGCAGCCGACCAGCTGATGAAAGAAGGTGTCACTCAGGTCATTGTAAATGAGGAAGGGACTGTGCATATGGTAGCTAGAGAAGGCTCTCAGATAATTATGCAGGAAGCCGGTAGCCACGCGTTCAGTGTCCAAAGCGAGCACATGGATTTAGTTGAGTCGGATGGGGAAATATCAGAGATTATTGTCACCGAAGAAATAGCTCAAGCCATGGTTCAGGGTTCTGATGACGACTTCTCTGAAGGTGCAACGCACTACATCGTCACAGAATTGCCACCAGACATGCAGGATGAGCCTGGTGTGTACTCGCATGCTGTGATAGAGGCAACTGGATCTCAAGAGATTTTGCAGGCTGGTACTGCTATAAAAGCAGAAGCCATGTCCCCTGATAGCGCGGGAGAACAGTTAACAAGCATGGTCATTTATACAGAGGGTGGCTCACAAGTAATTCAAGGACAGAGAGATGATAACGAAGTACAAGAAGCATGAAGAGCTTCATCTCCTAGGCTTGATGCAGGACAAAGCTGGAAATTACCAGATCCGCGGAAGCACTGTACTCCTGGAACAATTTCTGTAAAACCTTCTCAATACAATGTCCTCCTAGCCAGGTAACAAATACGCACCCTGCGGGAGGTGAAGGTCAGCTACTAGGAGGAGTTCACTCAAAAGGATAGTACAATCTTGTTACAATAGCTCTAAGAATTATTATATGGGATTATTATAAAACAAGCATATTAGGGTACAAAAGAGGATTAAAAGCCCCCCTTCCCCCAAAGTAGGTATTGATCTGGTCACTGCTTGCTTTGTTGTTTTGGTGTTGGTTTTTTTTTAATGTTATATCTCAGGGTAATTCCCTGCCTTCTGACATTTTGGTCTAACATAATCACAGGAGTAAAATAATTCCATTTACATGTACATTTTGTGAACAGATAAATAAGCAAAAAAGACAAAACCCACAATAGCAAGGTGAACAGGTAAGCTTATGTACTGTAATCGGTGCCCTTCTTCATTTTAAAGAAGAACAGGTGACATTTTGCTTTCTAGAATCAAGTATTTTTTGCATCTAAAATCAAATTTTTCCTAGTAGCTTACTCTTTCATGGTATGACATAGGACTTTCCCTAAGGAAGAGCTACACTCTAGAAAATTCTTGATTATACGTATTCAGGAAGAAGAACTTGATGCCTGTAACTTCCACTTAAATTTAGATGAGAGTCCTACATAAGAAATATGCATTTTTTGAAAAACCAAATTGTTACTGTCAGTGTTTTGCTTCATCTAAATACCATTTTGCGGTTCATTTTGTGAGCGACTTCTGAAATGTTATGGGGGGTTTTAAAGAAAATTCTGACATTGAAATTAACAAGTAGGGGGAAAAAAAAAAGGTGACCTTGTATTTCTTGCTTAGTCCAGAATGTCAGTTATTTACTTGTGGATATACTGCAATTGGTCAGTACAAGTTCATGTTGAAAAGCTTTGTTTCATGATACAACTGCTTTTGTTTCTTTAAAAAAATTGTAAAATATAAACTGGCAAGGTTTGGGGATTATTTTTTTTTTTGTCTTTCAAATAAAATGTTAGCATTAAAATGAAGCATCATGATTTTTAATATTAAGCAATAAACAGAACTGGCATTCA